TTGCAGAAATTATTTGTGGCATCAACAATTTTATTGTACACATCTTCCCCATCAAAGTTCCAGTACTTCATTTGCAATTTCTGCCTTAGGTTTCTTCTTTTTGCATTGCCATGTTACTAGCACAGTGACAAACACAAAAGAAACAAAAGCAGGTACAATAGCTAGTATAATAGCCCTAGACTTTTTTATCGGTCGACTGCTTCGAGCAAGATCGCAAAGGGGCAAACCATTCACAACACCACACATTTTTTTATTATGCTCGAACCATTTGGTTGGAGCTTTTTCAAAGAGCCTAGTTTTTTTAGAAAAGGAGGATGACCCCCGGCCTCTGCATCTGGGAGATGCATGCGGCCATTTTATCAATTATTCTCGAGGACCTTACAAAGTAGAACAACAAAATGCCTGAATCCGTCATCTTGGAAACATCTGCTGCTACTCCTATCCAAATTATGAAGGGGTGCAAGCAGGGCCACATACCCAGACCTCTCACCTAAGACTAACATCTAAAGCCGGAGGCCCCGCCCGAGCCATCTGCCGGGTCCGGGGCTCAAACCGGTCTGTCGCACTCACATGTGCCGTCGCCGCCGTCTTCCACTGGTCCATCTTCAGAGTAGATTGAGGTGACAACCTTGGTAGGTCCCCCGCCATCGATGCCACCACGACGCCAAACGACGACCTCCACCTACGCGACCTTGGCAGGTCCTCCGCCATTGATGCCACCACGACGCCAGCTGACGACCTCCACCTACGCGAGTCCATCTCCAAGCAATAGGCGTAAACCCATGCTAGGATAGGGCTGCAACACCGCTGTCTCCCACCACCCACAAGCGCCACCCAACCCCAAGTTCCCAAAGCGTGCCCTTCAAGAAGAGGAACGGCGCCGTGAGCGCTGCCGCCGCCAAACAAAGTTAGGGCTTTCACCAGGGAGACCTAGGAGAAGGTGAAGTGAGGAGATCACTCCATACCAACGCCTCCAAGGAGGGGAACATCGCCCTCAGGCATCGCCGTCGGTGCAGCCGGTCATGGCCGGCCAGGGATTTTGCCCGAACTACATCTCCGCCTCCAGGGATTTTGCACTGACCACCGCAGAAGCCGCCGCCGGCTGCCAACGACCACCGGATCCCGCTGCCCGCGCGGCCGGGACACTAGATCCACCGCCCGCACGGCTGCTAACCGGCCGTGCCTTGCCAATGGAGCCGCCGCTCCAGATCTGGGGTTCCCCACGCAGAAGCAAAGAAACCGAGGCCCCGCCACCACCATCCTTGGCTCATCGGGCTTGCCCGGCGGCTGCCTCAGGCGGCGGCGAGGAAGGAAGGAGGAGGGGGAGGGGGTGAGGAGGAGGGGCTGCTAGGGTTGGGAGGAGGAGGGTCTTCACCAGGATCCGCCTTAAAATTGGGGGAAATTTCACTTCCCCGACCTCTGCACCTACTAGGGATGCATACGGCCTTTTAAGTATGAGTACTAGGATTTTTAATCTCGGTTATGCACCGAGCCTAGTCCTCAATAAATGTGTGAGTACCAGGAAAGCCTAGTCCTCAAGAATAAATAGGAACCTAAATTTGCCTCCGTGAGGATTTGAACCCAGGTGTTGGGTTTGTACATCCACTCCCCCAACCAGTTGAGCTAGGCTCACTCCTACAAAGAGCCTAGTATGGGGCACCGACCACTCTAATTCATTGTATGACACATCCATGAACGGGAGGCCGGTCATGCTCTCAGATGACGATGGAATGCTACCGTCCAATGCATTGTGAGAAAGATTCAAGGCTTCAAGCATACTAAGACCACCTAACTGGCTCGGAATAACACCATCAATTGAATTATCACTTAGATCCAACAGATATTGTAGGTTCACCAACATCCCTAGTTCGATAGGAATCTACCAATGAGGTTATTATGACTCAACTTTAGAAAGTGAAGATTCACACATTGCTCAATTGATCTTGGTATCTGCCCAGTTACGTTGTTTGATGAGAAATCTAGATACTCCATATTTTACAGTGATCCAATTTCTTGGGGCATCTTTCCCTGGAGCAACTTACCAGACAAGCTCAAATTGAAATTGTTGTTGCATTGCCGATTTCTGGTGGAATATGACCTTCAAGCTTGTTTGATGAAACATCTAGTATTGCCAACTGAGATAATTTCCATATTTTTGATGGTATTGCTCCAGTTATATCGTTGTTTGATGCACGTAGCATGGTAAGTTCATAGCACTCACCCCAACGATGGGATAGTTTGCCAAATAGTTTATTTTAGCTGATATCAATATAGACAAGATTTGGATGATCTCCCATCTTTGTGATATCTCCTTTGATCATTCCGTTCAAGTCGAACCCTGACTAGGCTTGTACAACTTAGCAAGCTTGATGGCAAGGGTCCGACCAATTTGTTGCCAGCAGCGGACAAGTGTTGTAGCTGACCTCCCGAACAAAGTCCAGATGACAAGGAACCAGAGAGGTTATTGAGAGCGAGTTCCAACCGAATTAGACTCATTAAGTTGGAAATTTCTTGAGGAATAGGTCCGGAAAGTTGGTTTAGGAGAAGCTCCAAGATGGTGACCTTTGTCAATTTTCCTTGGCTATTTGGGATGAAACCTGAGAGTCTGTTGTCTTAGAGATTCAGTTGTTCTAAGTTGACAGCGTAACCTAATTCTCGTGGAACTTGACCAGAAATTTGGTTATTGACAAGGTACAAGGTAGTAAGTTTTGTCATATTGCCTAAGCCGATTGGGATGGAACCTGTGATACTATTTTCGCTAAGATCCAAGTTCTCAAAGTTCGCAAGGTCACCTATTTCTCGAGGAATTTGACCAGAAACTCGGTTCCCAGAAAGGTACAACAAAGTGATTTTTGTCAGATTCCCAAAGCCATCTGGGATGGATCCTACGAGACTGTTGTTGCGTAGATCGAAGTCCTCTAAGTTCACATTGTAACCTAATTCTCCTGGAATTTGACCAGAAAGTTGGTTCTGGTAAACATTCAAGCCAGTGAGTTTTGTGAAATTCCCAAAGCTATTTGGGATGGAACCTGTGAGACCTTTATTGCTAAGATCCATGTTCTCTAAGTTTGCAAGGTGACCTAATTCTTGTGGAATAGGTCCGAAAAGTTTGTTGCTGGAAATGTACAAGGCAGTGAGTTTTGTCAAATTCCATAAGGTGTTTGGGATGGAACCTGATAATGTGTTGTTCCTAATGTCCAAGATCTCTAAGTTTGCAAGATGACCTAATTCTCGTGGAATGGGCCTGGAAAGTTGGAAATCGGAAATGTACAAGGCAGTGAGTTTTGTCAAATTCCATAAGGTTTTTGGGATGGAGCCTGAGAGTGTGTTTGTACTAAGGCCCAATTTCCCTAAGTTAACAAGGTGACCTAATTCTCGTGGAATGTTCCCAGAAAGTTGGTTCTGGCCAAGGTACAAGGTAATGAGTTTTGTCAAATTACCTAAGCCACTTGGGATGGACCCTGTGAGACTATTGTTTCTAAGATCCAAGTTCTCTAAGTTCACAAGGTAACCTAATTCTCGAGGAATTTCACTAGAAAGTCAGTTCCTAGATACGTATAACAATGTGATTTTTTTTCAAATTCCCTAAGCCATTTTGGGATGGAACCTGTGAGACTTTTGTTGCGAAGATCTAAGACTTGTAAGTTCACATTGTAACATAATTCTCGTGGAATTGGACCAGAAAGTTTGTTCTGGTAAATGTTCAAGGTGGTGAGTTTTGTCAAATTCCCAAAGCTGTTTGGGATGGAACCGGTGAGACCATCTAGCTTTTTGACTCCCGGGTGTCCCGACACCCTACTATCCACACCACTCGTGTCAATTTCCCTTATCTCCAGATCTGGATGACTCTCTCTTAAAACCGCTCTCAATCTCTCACGAAGAAGGTAATAACTTAATATGAAGGGTGACGCTGATGTAAAATCCGTCGGGCCCGCGTTAATCTGAGCAGTGCAAGGGACACGTTACGGGACATTAGATTACACAGCATGCAACGCCTATGGGCTGTCCTTTCACTGATGACCCGCCTGGCCTCTCCAAAACGAAAAGATGCTATCCGACTCTGCCTGCTACAGCGTAGGACCTAGCCTTCGTGTCTCTGTGAAATGTATGCTTAATTAACCTGACATTGCAATTGGCCTGCTGCTGTGCAGTTACCGAAAAAGGCTTTCGCTCCGCTTTATATATAAAGCAACTGCCCAAGCCAAACATCCAACAAGGTCCACACACACACACACACACACACACACACACACACACAAAGGTCTAGTACAGATAGGTAGTCAAAGGGTTAATGCTGAGGGCACAGCTCAACCAGCCCTGAAAAAACAAAGAAAGCACGCACACGGGAGGTGCGGTAGAGCATCTAGTCGGGCTCCGGGGGTGGCGGAGGAAGCGGAGGCACGAATCTTAAAATTGCTGAATGCATCGGATAAGAGGGTGTCGGGACTCCCGGGTGCCATCACACCTTTTTGTTATTGCCAAGATCCAAGTTCTCTAAGTTCCTAGGTGACCTAATTCTTGTGGAATAGGTCCGGAAACTTGGTTCTTGGAAATGTACAAGGCAGTGAGTTTCGCCAAATTCCATAAGGTGTTTGGGATGGAACATGAGAATGTGTCGTTGCTAATGTCCAAGATCTCTAAGTTTGCAAGATGACCTAATTCTCATGGAAGGGGTCCGGAAAGTTGGAAACCGGAAATATACAAGGCAGTGAGTTTTGTCAAATTACATAAGGTTTTTGGGATGGAACCTGAGAGATTGTTTGTACGAAGGCCCAATTTCTCTAAGTTAACAAGGTGACCTAATTCTCATGGTATTTTCCCAGAAAGTTGGTTCTGGCCAAGGTATAAGGCAGTGAGTTTTGTCAAATGTCCCAAGCTATTTGGGATGGAACCTATCAGTCTGTTGTAGCTAAGTAAAAGTACATTAAGTTGACCATGTGACCAATTTCTCGTGGAATTTCACCAGAAAGTTTTTGAGGTAAAGGTTATTTTGGACAAATCTAACACAAAACCAAGTGCTTTAGGTGGCCTACTTCAGAAGGGATATCACCAACTAAGTGATTGTTTGACAGATTGAGGGTGACAAGGCTACTCATGTTGCCTATCTGCCTTCGTATTCCACCGGAGACTTCATTTTCATGAAGCATTAAGAAGCACAATTTTGTGAGATTTCCTATACCTACAGGAATTGAGCCTCTTATCTGGTTGCCTTGCAGGAGCAGAGCGCAGAGCTCCCCGAGTACCTCGATGCTGGGAGGGATGCTCCCGGTGAGTAGATTGTGCGAGAGGTCGAGGCGCGTCAGGGTCCTCAAGGCCGAGAAGTTGAGGGACTCCAGCGCCCCTCTCAGCCGCATCCCCCGCAGAGAGATGCCAATGATCGCCAACCGGTGCTGGCTCCCATGCACACTGGTACGGCAACTGATGCCGCGCCAGCTGCAAGCTGCTGACATGTTTCCCCAGGAGCGAGCGCATCCTGGTTTTGGTTGTCGAGGCTGGCTTTCCAGACAAGGATCGCTCTTGCTTGTCCTCTGGGCACCGCTGAATCCGATGCAAATGCGATGGTGATGGCCACCATCATCATCAGTATGGGCATGGTGAAAGAGGCAAGCATTTTGGGAGGTGGATGCATCTCCATGACTAGCTAGCTAGGCTGGAATTGGCTCTCGTTCTGGTTCTGAGTGCTGATGACAGCACATTAAATAGTCGAGCACACATCTGTCGATATGTTGATGGAATATACATGCCAAAGAAGAGAACAACCGTGGCCATGAAAGTCTGCAGACCCTGCCATAATTGATGGAGAGTTGGCATGAGAGTTACGGTCAGCTCACACGGCACGGCAATGGAGAGTAGGCATGGGAGTTATAGTCAAGTCATTCGTGGTTGAGCCATGTGCATACTGATTTATGGACGGCTGCGTTGCATGTCTCACACGGCAGTACTACAATGCTGTACTAGCTTCCAATACTTGGACAGTGATAAGGTACGTAGCGTCCAAACATTCGATGTATACATTTGAATCATTCAAGATTAAAATAATAATTTATGAAAGGTCTGGAGTCAGTCAGCATGATAAGTCGGAAGGATAAGCACGACCTGTATATGTGCTATTACTAATGTATACAGACAGCTGAAAGAAATAATGTATTAAAATCGATTCACAGAATATGTTGCTCATTATTTTATTGATTTCGTATACAGGCTTACCAGTTGGTAATTTTACTAAGAACTCCTTCCGTTCCCCCACAAAAAAAAAGAACTCCTTTCGTCCCATGTTATTTGTTGCTCAAACGCATATATCTAACACTAAAATATGTTCAGATGGATCTATTTCAGGTATAACTGATATGAAACGGAGAAAGTACTTCATTTCTCAAATAGAATGGAGCGTCTAAAATTACGCAAGTGTAATAGTAGAGCACACCTCTGTCCATATGTTAACGGAATACCTGTCAATTCCCTGCAAAAAAGAAGTATGAAATACATGTCCAAGAATAGAATACCTCCCCAGCCGTGGCCATGAAAGTATAGATCATGGCGGTGGAAGTCTGCAGAACCTGCCGTGCTTGAGGCTTGACCGTATGAGAGTCTGTCTGCACGACTGCCGTTGGTGTTAGAGGTAGGCATGCGCATACTGATCTGTGGATGGGTGTGTTGCATGTCCCACACGGCAATATATGCTGTACGTAGATTCCAATACTTTGACAGTAACAAGGTAGTTGCCGAAAATGAAGGCTTTATTGTGATATATGATGTGCGTCCGCGTGTGCGTGAGCTTGCATGCGTAAGTGGGTTATTGTGATACTATTGGAGTGCTCTTATTAACCCCACTAGTATTTTTAGAGGATAATTAACCCCACTATTAGTTAAGCTCATTGTATAGTGAAATTTTGAAAACTAATAAAGCTGATCTTTCATGCGCGCGCGCTGAAGAAAATTAAGGCTGACATGCAGGAAAATGCAAGAAAGTTAGCTCAGGAGTACAAAGTATACGTATGTACCACTACTAGAAAATAGGCTATTAATGGCGCACCTATTTTGGCTATTAATGGCGCACCTATAGTGCGCCATTACTAGCACGCCATTAGTAACTGTTAGTAATGGCCCACTTTTAGGCATAGTAATGGCGCACTATGGCTTAATCTCGGGTCAATATGCTTAATCTCAAGTCAAATCGCACTCCGTGGTCAAACTTCCTGAAAACTCACCCATCCTCACACTACTCCAGCCCCAGCACGCTTAACTTCTCAGTTCTATCCAACCCCAGCACCAGCTCACTTAACAGGCACTTGTTGATATATCTATCATATCAATCCTATTAAACCTTGTTGATGTCTAGGACTTTGTTCATGTTCATGAGTGTGATGAAATTTTGAAAAAATATTTCAAACTTCCTGGTCATATTACGTATCATATTTTGAACATGTTTTCCAAAAAAAAATCGAAACAATTTTTTTTCCTGTTACTAATGGCGCACCTACCAAATGGTGCGCCATTACTAAGTTTGAAATTTTTTCCATCCCCCCCCCCTTTAGATCTTAAAAGCCCCGTATCTTTTTTATGTTATAGGGATTCTAAAAATGTTCAACGGGGTTCCCCCGGTTGAATTCGGATGTAACTTTTCAAGTAGATGATTTTTTATATAAAAAACTTTTTAATCCGAGTTCGTATGCAAAAGTTATGCCCATTTTACTAAATTCCAAAGAGATTTTGCAAATAAAGACGAAATTCATATTTGTAAATTTTCCCAACAATTGGAGCACATATCACATGGGAAACTTATTTTCTTTTAAATCGCGGAAAACCGAACTATTATACAATACTTACCTTATGTAACAAGGATATAGAGAGATTGTAGAAAGGGATAGGATAGTTATTTTTGCAAGGGACTTGTTGTAAATTCCTTAACTTAAGAAAGAAAAAGAATAAAAACACATATACATAACATAAAAAAAAAGAATAACTAAGACGAGATTCGACCTCCCCCTACATATTTAATTTCCTCTCCTATACAAAAACTAGCAAGACCCACTCCATTGGTAATTCCATCAATAACACCCTTATCAGAAAACTCCGTGAGTTCGGTTAACCCTCTTATACCGAGGGTAAAGACCCTAGTATAGAAAATATCTATATAACCGCGATTATATGACCAACTGTATATATATTTTTTTACTTGATCTAAAATTTCTTTTTTAGGATTTTCTTTGTAAAAAGAGTTTATTAAATCCAAATTCTGAAAAAAAGAATAAGCGGATCCATAGAAGATATATGCTATGAATAAACCAAAGATAGCTAGACTTACAGAAGAAATTGCATTAGTAATAAATTCATATGAATTTACAAAAGAATTAGAACTTTCCTGGGTAAATTTATTGAGGGAATTAACCACTTTGATAATATGGTTAACTCTGCTATTCCATTACCAATTCCTCCATTATCAAAAGAGATTCCTATGAATCCAATGAACAAAGTGAAAAGTAGTAATATAAGAAGAGGAAATAACATAGTATTTCCCGTTTCATGCGGATAGGCAAAAGTGTTTTTAGCCCCAAAAGACGTAGTAAAGGATCCTATCCTATTTCTTGTATTACCTTGAATTTTTGGTATATTTTGTGAAAAAAAAAGAAACTCCACTCTTCGTTGTTGATAAAACGAAATCCCTATTCACTCCTTTGGGTATCCTTTTTCCCCATAAGGATATTGAATACAAGGAACTCTCTTTAGTGCTACTGTAATTTTGAAAATGAACATGCAAATACCCATCAAATGTAAGTAAATATATCCGAAACATATAAAAGGCAGTTAATCCTGCAGTAAAGGAGGCTATTATTCCAAAAAAGGGCGAATACAACCATCATTTTCTTTTATTTTTTTAAAACTGAAAAGGCGGTCTAGGGGGTGGCTCATTTGGTGAAATTTTCGGCCACCTAGAAAGTTAGTAATGGCGCACCTTCACAAAGTGCGTCATTTACTATGTGTATGACTTGATCAAACCTTGGCCAAAGTTAATAATGGCGCACTTTGCATAGGTGCGATATTACTATGTCAACCAAGGTTTGACACAGTCATACACATAGTTATGGCGCACTTTGTAAATGTGCGTCATTACTATGTCAACTTAGTAATGGCGCACGTATACAAAGTGCGCCATTAGTATGTGTATGACTGGGTCAAACCTTGGTCAAACTTAGTAATGACGCACTTTTCACCTGGTGCGTCATTACTGTTTTCATTACTAATGGCACACCTACATATGATGCGCCGCACCACATATATAGTGCGCCATTAGTATCCATATTGGCTATAACTGTTTTTCTAGTAGTTTACTACTCCCTCTGTCCCATAATATAAGAACGTTTTTGACACTATACTAGCGTAAAAAGCGTTCTTATATTATGGGACGGAGGGAGTAGCTTTTGGGGAGCTAGCCGTCCACATTTTCTTGCTTTTATATATACTTTGATGTATCTATCACAAAATTTTAAAAGAATGAGAAGTCATGTGCTTTGTTATTCTCCGAGAAAAACACGAGTCAAACATATAATCCAAGCCACGTGCGTACATCGGCCAACTCTTTGCGTGTGCCGTCCGCCCTGGAAGAAAGAAGACGGCAAGGACGAAGAAGAATATACGGACAGCTGAGAGCAAGCACCGTCAGATACAAACATGCTCGAAGCTCTACCCCCAGTCAATACGTTAGACTAGACTATAGCGTATGAACGCCGGCAGATCCACCGGTCGACCAAAAGTATGGAATACGCTCGAATGCACATGACCATTCGCGCGCGTAGCAGCTTGGTTGCTACGGGGTACGTGCTTAGTAGCTCGCTCGTGAGCCATTGTAAGAAAAACCAAGCAAACTAGCTAATGGCGCTGATTCACATCTCGCGCCGCCTCCACGGCACGCTGCTTGCACTTCTGCTCCTGCTCGTGGCCGTCACTGCCTTTGTCAGCGCTGCCGCGGAGGGAGAGGAAGCCCTGCCTGCCCGGCACGAGCGGTGGATGGCCAAGCATGGGCGCTTGTACACGGACGCCACCGAGAAATTGCGTCGGCAGAAGGTGTTCGCGGCCAACGTGCGACATGTTGATGCTGTCAACAGGGCGGGCAACCGGACTTACATGCTCGGGCTCAATCAGTTCTCCGACCTCACAAATGAAGAGTTCGCGGAGAAGCACCTCGGGTACCGCCACCAGCGCGGCGGGCTCCGTCCAGAGGAAAGCACGCCGGTGGCCATGGTGAACATGTCCAAGGCTCAGTTTCGGTCCCTCCCAGAAAGCGTGGACTGGAGGGCCCAGGGTGCCGTCACCCCGGTCAAGAACCAAGGTCCCTGCGGTAAGAATCTGCGGCTCTTGCAATGCATGCATAGCATACGCCAAAGTTCGCAAATGAATAAATGTTTACACGTACGTACTCCTATATGCGTACAGATTGTGGCTGGGCGTTCGT